TGCCTACCCCCACCCCCTTCTCTGCCACCCTCTGATCTCCAATTTACTTTCTTATTTTCACAAGTGTATCGGTGCAGATTCCTTCTGTGGGGCAAAGTGAACTGTGAGTCTGCATTCTAGGTTCCCAGAAGCTTCCCCGGTGGTGACTTAAAAGGTCATACTTTTGAGTTGTAACATTCTAATTACCAAAACACATCTATAGCAAGGTCGTGAGGGCATGGCATGTTTTGTTTGACTGCTAAATGGTTCAACTTCTATTTCTAGAGGAAAATGTTATGGCAGTTCATATAACACAATGGTCATGAACAATCAACATTATTCAACCGAAGAAAAGAGCCTGGAAACCCACATGAAGCTGCTCTAATAAAGACAGCAGGGTGACCCTGTGACCCCAAAACCATTTATTCCAGTTCTCATACAGGTTATCAGTGGTTTCCTCACTAATGACTCGATTAGACCAGTGCCAGAAGGGACCACAAGAGGGGGGAGAGAAACCCAGTGGGGGGAGGGTGGAACACAGTGAGGGGGGAGGGGGGAACTCAGTGAGAAGGGGGGGGGGACACAGAGGTAGAGAAATTGCCCGGCACCCAGAGAATCTGGGGCCAATCCCCAGAACCATAGAAAAGAAAAGCCGGGAGCACAAAATTCAAAAATTACGTGAAAATCTGACTCGAGTGCTTTCAATGACAACGGCCCACAGGCTCACAGGGAGCGGTACAATTAGGAGGTGTGGCTTGTTGGAGGAAGTGTGTCACTGAGGTTTTAAGATGCTTAAGCCAGGCCCAGTGCCTGCAGATCCAGATAGATGTAGGACTCTCAGCTTCCTCTCCAGCTCCATGTCTGTTTGCATGCCACCATGCTTCCTGCCATGACAATAATGGACTAAATCTCTGAACTGTAAGCCAGCTCCAATTAAATGTTTTCTTTTATAAGAGTTGCCATAGTCATGGTGTCTCTTCACAGCAACAGAAACCCTAGCTAATACAATGATTTAAATCACTCATGTTGACCTCTCCTTGCTAAAATTGTTAGTAATTGGCAAAATGGATGAACCAGCTTCAATTTAGATCTCCTGGTTTCAAACCCTGACTTGGCAGACAGACAGCTGATGGCTCCTTTGAAGTAGTGTTTCTATTTTTTTTTTTTAAACACACTTTCTTGGTAACTGATGAGTGTTAGTATGACATATTGTTCACAGACTAAAATGAACCTCTTACTAAGATTTACCAAAGAACACCGGAGTATTTTCGCAATTTCTGGCCACTTTGAAAAGCCCATGCTACGAAGGGGAACTGCAGACAGACATGGTCCTCAAGTCACGGGAAGGTATGTTTGTTTGCCCTATCGGCACTGTCTGCTTAGTGGTGGCCTGGAGTGCTTTGCAGTGGTAAAGAGCTGTCTTTCCGCATCACCTGCTGCTCCGTCTGTACTAGTAGGGCTATGTTCCATCAGTCAATGTCTGAAGCAGCAGTATGCACAGTGCAGAGTGTCCCACAGCTTCCTCTGAAGATGCACAGTGCAGTGTCCCCATAGCTTCCTCTGAGGATGTACAGTGTCCCCATAGCTTCCTCTGAAGATGCACAGTGTCCC